GCCCCCCTTTCCTGCCCTGGCAGGCCTGTGCTTGGATCAAGGGTCTGGTATGGAATTTTAGGGGGGACCCCACGTTTCCCCCCCACCATTTTTGTGGGTGAGGTTCCTCCTTAAAATTCCTACCAGATCTTAAGGGCCTGGTAGGGACTTTAAGGGGAACCCCACACACTTTTTTATTTGCCTTTTTTAAAATGGGGTCCCTCTTAAAATTCCTACCAGACCTTAATGGTCTGGTATTGTTTAGGAGGGGGAACCGCACGCTTTAAAAAAAAAAGAAATGTCATTTTTTTTCTTTAGAAATGTCAGTTTTGCTGCAGCAGGTTCTATACATTTACAGGCACGATATTTAAAAGGAAGTTTTCATTTTTATTGTTACCATTTAAGTGATGTTAAAATCACTGCTCCTTTAAAAACTGTGTTTTTAAAAAGTTTTTTTCCATTGATTCCTGTCCCCCAGGGCAGTACCCAAATCCCTATACCCTTTTTATGGCCAATAAATTGCATACAAGGCTTCAAAAATGGGACATTTGATTTTCAAAGTTCTACCCCCATAGACACATTGAGTTCGAGTTCAAATTCGAACTATTCCCATGTTCGAATTTCAACCAAACACGGGGGTGTTCGGCTCATCACAATGAATTGATAGCTGTGATGGGAAAAGCAAAGGAAGTGCCACTGAAAAGGTGCACAGGGACCAGTTAATGTAGGGCTTGTGGACACTGGTCTCTTAGAGTAGAAATAGAGTAGTAGAGGAAATTTGTGTGTGTGGGGGGTTACATATTAATACTGCTTATGCTCTCTTTACAGCCTCTCTATGTGCACTACAGTCATTCATAAGGCATATTTCCCTAATTTTTGCTGACTAAGATTGATTTTTTTTACAGCCTGACCCTATCCACATGCACTACATTGATAACAGGCTGAATGCCTTTTAACAAGTCATATTTCTTAATTGTTGCTGATTGCCTTTTTTTCCGGGTCTTTTTTTAAATGGTGGAAACAGTGTAATATTCATGAGCAATGTGCATCAGAACAGAAAGTTAATTATTACACTGGAAGAGCTTGTGACAGGGTGATTTACAGTGAGGAGGTTGAGGGAGACAAGGCCAGAGCATTGTTACCCCATAACATGCCCAAACCCAGACCTTTATACCAGTATCACCAGCTGTTAAAGTTTATATTACATTTTAGTGGTTGGGTTTACATCTCCTTTAACAAACTGTGCTTAAGTTCTTTGAATTACAGTGCAAAGGTACATTTTCTTATGTGCCCTGTCTGTGTGCACCAATATCTG